ACACACTTGGCCCATTTAAATGCCTAGCAATCTTTTCAGTTACAACTGGCTACCTCTTTCAACTCTAGTGAAATATGCTACAAATAGCACCATTCCCAAAGTTCTTAAAATTTCTAGAAAAGGCATAAAAATAAATATAGTAGAGAATATCCTGCTTTTATTCAGGATATTTTGATTCAAGGAGTTTCTAGTGATTTGCTTTCCTTCCCTACCCAGCTTCATTTCTGTAGGATGTACCTTCCTATTACTCAATCCTTTTTTTTTTTTTTTAGGTTTCAAAACACATGAATTCAGTATGGAAAATCATTATTATAAAGAGCATAAATGAATTTTTAATAAAAGGAGCAGGCACATTCTAATGGACTTGATAGTGTTTAATCTGGAATGGCTTAATTGAAAGTTCTCTTATCAGCCTAATAATAGTGAATTTTAATGACCCTGATTTAACAGAGACAGGGACACTATCTTTCTCAATGGAAAGATGAGAAGCAGGGGTCAAGTGTCTTAACGAGATGTTACATAAATGAAATACATGTACAATGTAGTGATCTTGGAAAACTCATAAGGTTCAAAGAAGACAATAGCTGTAAATCCGATTAGCCTTTTTATTCAGCTTTTTTTCAGAACTGGATTGCTATCGTATGTTCAACTTTACAATTTTATATTCTGATTTTTCTACATAATATGATATAATGAGCATTTTCATATCCTTAAAATTTTGAAAATTCCAGTTACGTTGAATTCATCCAAGGTGTAGATATATTCTAATTTATATAGACATCTAAATTCAGGTTTTCTTCGTTCGTTTGTTTTGCTGTTACAAATCCTGTGGTAAACATCCTTAAAAATAAATCTACATATACATTTCTGTAGGCTAAATTCTTAGAAAAAATTCAAAGATGTTGAAACACACCGAAACATCACCTACAGAAGATGTTTAACAAAATACGCTCCCTCAAGTAGTGAATAAGACAGTGTTTTTTACTGCACCCTCACCAAACTATTTGCTTTTTAAAATCATTAAATATATGACAGGCAAACAAAAAAAGTTAATTTGCATTTTTTTTGTGAGGCTGAGTATTTTTCATGCTTACGGGTTACTTGGATTCCTTTTCATGTTCCTCTCTTTTGCTCATTTTCCTATTGAGATTTAATTTTAGTGTTACTCTTATTGATCTATATGACTTCTTCAGAATATCAATTCTTTGCCATGTTTGTTGTACAGTTTACTGACACTTTATCTGTCTTTCAATTTTGTTTCTGATTTATGATATTCAGATCAAAAAAGCAATGTTGTGTCAAGGCTGTTAATTTTTCCTTTCATTGCTTTTTGCTCAAAAGGTCCTTTCAATTGCTGATATAAAGAAACATGTAATTTTATTTACTGCTTTCCCTAATACTTTATTTGTTACATTAACTCTTAAATTCATTAAGAACAACTTTTGGTATATAAGGAGGAGGTAAAACTCCAACTTTGTTTTACCTAACAGTCAACCAAGTTTATCAAACAACCAGACTATCATTTTCCCTCTGATTTATGAATCTCTCCTTATTCTACACTAAGTTCCACAACGTACCAGGTTCTATGTTTCCTAATCAGTCAACCAATAATCAATGACTTGTATTGCAAATTTAGCAACACCAAGTTTGCCTATTTGTTATTCTTTAAAATCTATCCAGTTATTTTTATGACCTTGGTATTCCTCTTAAATTTTCATCAGCTTGCTCTATAATTTCTATTCTCACCATAAACAGTCTTTTGAAAGATCTGAAAACGCACTAAAGAGTGAGAAAATAACAGCAAAAAACCATGAAACCTCCCTCCCTTATCCCAAGATTTGCACTTTTAACATTTTGGGGCATACACTTTCAGGATCTCTATCAGGGATGATCTAGGTAGCTTTGTTACTATTCTTCCTTGGCAAGGAAACATAAGCATTTCAGCATGATCGATTTTTCACAACATGGAAAAGATATCTTGATTCAATTCACAATTGGATTGCAATTTATTTTTAAAATACTAAAATATATATATATAATCTTAACTTCTCTCAGATTTGAATGTTTAATCTTTGGAGACATGTAAAAAGCAAACTATTTAATGAGCTCAATTCAGGTACACCCCTTAATATTGCTGCTCTGATCTATTAACTTGTGGTTTATTTAACTTGCAACAGAATCCAGTTAGTAATGCATCAGAAGGATAGCCCTGGTAGCATGCCAATCACACGAAAGTCATTTCCCTTGTTTTCCTGATTTCCTGGAGATGAAGTATTTCACTTACTACAAGTGCATTACAAAGCGCAGTGCCATTTAATTCCTAAGTTCATATCTGTATGTATTTATTCAACAGTATCTTTGTGATAGGAGATGTTCAATAAACATTTGTCGAATGGAGGAGAATAAATGAAACATACTATTTAAATAGAGTACTGTATAAAATGGCACATTATTAATAACTACATTGGAATTCTTACAAGTGGCTGATGCAGGAACAAATGGTAAGCCTTTTATTCACAGCAAAGCCTGGGAGATGAACAGCTGACACATGCAATGTGTGATTTCTTCATATGCACTAGTAGGAGATTTATATGCCCTTATTATCCTATTGGAGTTCCAGTTCTGTCTTAGGCTGGTCTTTTGTCATGATTAGCTATGTTGTGACTCTATGTTAAATAAAAGGTTGTCTGTGCTGAAATATGCATGAAATATGAAGACAGAGGCCAAAATTATTATACATGTACATCATTCCAGCCAAAACATAGATATATCTCTGCTTGTCTACATTAAAAAAAAATCAGACATGTACATATATGCAAAAGAAAAGAATTATTTTTCTGGACCTGAGATCTACTGTCATAGACTGGATTGTGTCTCCCAAATAACCAATGTTGAAGTGCTAACCTCCAGTACCTCAGAATGTGACCATATTTAGAGAAAGAGTCTTTATAGATGCAATCAAGTTAAAATAGGGTCATTAGAGTGGACCTTAATCCAATATGACTGGTGCCCTTTTAAGAAAAGGAAATTTGAGTAAAGACTTGTACAGAGGAAAGAAAATGAAAAGACACAGGGAGAAGATGGCCACCTAGAAGCCAAGGAGAGAGGCCTGAAAGGGATCCTTCCCTCATGGCCCTCAGAAGGAAACAACCCTGCCAACACCTTGATCTCAGGCTTCTAGACTCCAGAACTGTGATAAAATATACTTCTGTTGTTTACGCCACCCAATCTGCAGTGCTATGTTACAGCAGCCCTAGCAAACTAATACACCTGGGAACTTAACAGAGAATATACTGAGGCTGTATGTTAAAAACAAATAGGAATTCTTTTGTTTTTTCAACATTCTCAGTTTTTGAAATGATGAATCAGACCTGCCTGCGTATAGTGGTGGGGCCTGATTTGAAACTTCCTTGGGGTAAAACACCATCGCAAAAGTCACTGCTTTAGGTAAGGCTTCTGATTCATCCCTTCATCAGTTATAAATTCAAACTTATTTGATGGCACTGCCCACTTCCATGTATGACACCACTGGATTGACAAAGGTAACATTAACACATAGCTGATCATCAATAAGAGCATGGATGCACTTCGTGCTTTGAAATGGTACCTCATTCTTGGCTTTTCCCTTGAGGTCTTCAAGTCACCTGCGTGCTTTCTACCTGTGTGCTTTCTACCTGTGTCTGCATTGATCTAATAAACATAACAAGAAAAGAGAAATGTGGGGAGGAACCATTCCCACTGCCCTTGATCCCCGACTCAGGTTTTCAGAGGACAGAAATGGGTGGTGACTTTTGTAAATGAAGTCAATGTAACGGCACTGCCCAAGTCACATGAAAGCCACCATGTCAAGGGTGATGAAAGGCGACGGGATACACAGTGGCTCTTATGGAGATCGGCCACTATCACTGATCAGCTCTTCCAAACCTGTGTCACTGTCCACTGTGAACTGAAGCTAGCCTGTGGAGCCAGGCAGGATTTGCTGACACATTCTATGTTCATAACTATAAGGCACATTTCTCTGTGCCATCTTAATAAAACATCATGGAATAAAGTTTTATAATAGCAATAGCGAGAGAAGAAAGTCATAATTTTCCATGCTTCACGATTCGGAATAATTAATTTAATAACTGTGTCATATGAGAAGAGTAAATAAAGAGAAGGAAAGGGGTGTAGATATATATGATCACTGAAGCATATACAATTGCAAGGAAAAACAAATTACCAGGGTAGCGCTGGAAATAAAAGCTTGGTGGGAAATATTTTTTAGATGCTAATTTGATTCTTCTATGGAGCCTTAAAGCTGCAGTGTCTACAAGACCACTATTTACCTCCACTTGTTTTTATTTTTAGCAGTTATCTAACCTTTTGTTTCTAAAAACCCATTAAACACCTTCTTGATCTCCACTGGGAATTTTCCCTGTTCTCTACCTAGACTATAACAGGACTATGATTTCATTTACAACACCTTGCTGGAGAGTATTTCATCATCAGAGGTATTTAAAAAAAAAAAAGGACTGAAATTAATCAACGAGGGCAGAACCAAAATAAGATGCAGTTTTCTTTGGACACAGTTACAGTCTCTGGGGTTTGGTTCACAGTAAACATTGAGACTCTAGATCTTAGCTGAGCAGTTTCTTTGCCATGCCACAATCTGTAGGTCTGCAGGAAGACATCATTTCTGAGTATATGTGCCTAAATCCCACACCAAAAATACACGCTTCTAAAGTGAGTAAATAATTATTTCTATTAAGTTGTTACATATAAAAGTAAACCTTCCTTTACTTAATCAGGTGAAACATCTTGTCTAATTTAATTCAGTTTTCCATCCTCAAATACTAACGATACCAGCCTTGTTCCTTCCCACATTAAAACTATTGATTCTGCTATTCAAACACCGGACTATATGTATCACATTGTATATTCCTGGAGTGAGGCACCCCCTTCCACATCCAGGCCTCTCTGAGGACCTGCCCTCAGTGCCAGTCGCCGCAGTGACTTACCGACAGTGTTTATGGGATCCAGTCAAGGTTTCAATCACAAAGCACTCGCCATCATTGAGACAGTAGGCAAGGTCCTTGTCTCGGCAGGGTTTGAAGTGCTCAGACCGCTCAGTGGAATATGTCGTCGTATCTGTTGAGAAACACAGAGAAAGGCTGTCAGAAGTTCATTCTGACACCACCAGCTCCTGTCATTGGGCTGGACCTGTGCACTGAGACCTTCTTATGGCTGCTGACTCCAGCCAGACAGGATGGAACCTTCACTGTACTGAAAAAACACAACTGGATATGACCATTTTATAGACTGAATGTTTGTGTCCCCCCAGAATTCATAGATTGAAACCTAACCCCCAATGTGATGGTATTAGGACGTGGGGCCTTTGGGTCATGAGTGGGATTAATACCCTTATAAAAGAGACCACAGAGAGCTCCCTCACCCATTCCAGTCATATGAAGACACAGCAAGAAAATAGCCCTCTATGAACTAGGAAGTCCTAACCAGACACTGAATCCACAGGCAACTTGATCTTAGGCTTCCCAGCACCCAGAACTGTGAGAAATAAATTTCTGCTGTTTTTAAGCCACCCAGTCCATGGTATTCTGTTATAGCAGCTAGGACTAAGACAACTACTGGATCCAACTGTCTTATTTCTCCACAAGATTTTAACAATTGGAATCACTCTAGACAGGTCCCATCAGAGGACACATTACCAGTAAAAGCTGAATGACCCTACAGTCAAATATCTCAAATTCACTTTCATTAATTTCAGTGTTAAGCAACATGTTGTATTAGGATTGAAACAACATTCTCTTCCCTTAACTGTTGTCAAACGTCATTAAATATCTCATCAACGTACATATACTGTAACTCTTCTATGGAAACCAATGTCAGTTTCTGTGTGTGTGTCTGTTTTTTTATCTTTTTTAAGTTATAGCTGTTAATTCGCTAATAGCTAAGCCAATTATTCTTTCACTTTTTCCTTTTATTATGTAATTAAAATGCAAATGTTCCAAATTCTGAAACAGAATCTCAAATGTGAGGAATGATTCTGGTAAATATTTAACACGACTAAATTATTGTCATTTTTTAGCATTCTCTTAAACATGTGTTTTTTAAATCATAATCACTTACTTTTTTGAATTAAGTTATATACCCATATCAGCTTCCGAAGTATGAAACTAATAATAAGTATAAGCATATGCGCTCTACTGGATGAAAAATCTGTTATAACATGTAGACATTCTTCTTTCAGAGTTTTAAGCAACTAAAATATTAGTACCAATTTCATTGCACCATTCAAGAAAAATATATTTAAAAAGCCAAAGATGGATACATGACTCAGCATGTAAGCTCTTTTTATTTCCTTTACACAGATATAGATTAATAATAATGTTCAACGGCATGGGCCATTGTACCAGTTTACTAAATGGAGGTCACAATGAAGCTCTTCCTACCCACCATCCGAATGGAGGGCAGAGTGATTATCCAGAAAGAAAATTCACTCATGTTCTCCCCAAACCTAAAAAGCCTCAATGGGCCCCTTTCCCATAGGAAGAACTCCAAATTCCTAAGTAGAGCAAAGAAAAACATAGACCAGGTAGAATTTTGCCTGTCTAGCCTCATCTTCTTGCATCCTAAAACACACAACTTCATTTCCAACTATTATCCTATTTCCCCAATACCAGGAACTATCATACTGATCCTTCTTCCTGGACCATCTTTTTCTTTGCTGGATAACATCCAGCAATTCTTCAGAGCTTATGTCATCTTCCCCTTGTGTCCCCCAGAACCTTTTATTGCTTGCATCACTGTATTCAATGCTGCAAGTAACCATTTGTTTACACCTTTATCTGTTTTAGTCTGTAAGTTCCTTGAGGTCAGAGGTTGAGCCTTAATCAGAATTGGTGCTCAGTAAAAAGGTCTTCAATAAATCTGATAACTCAAGGTGGGGGGGAAAGCAGGGGGTGGGGGTGGGATGAATTGGGAGATCGGGATTGACATATATACACTAATATGTATAAAATAGATAACTAATAAGAACCTGCTGTAGAGCACAGGGAACTCCACTGTACAGTAGAAACTAACACAACATTGTAAAACAACTATGCCCCAATTAAAAAAATATATGATAACTCTAACATCACTAAAGTTTAAACACCATTGATGAAAGATATGATCATTAAAGATATCATTATAATCATCTAAATGTTAATGTATATCTTACAATAAAAAGTTAGACATAACTTTCACATTAATGTTATCATTTTAGTATAGTCATTTTAATATTGATAAATATTGCAAAATAATCACATTGCCTTCAGATTCACACAGACCCTACTCATATGATATTCATATACTGTGAGCATTGAAAAATCCACTTCTAACCTTGTCTTTCTTGATCATACAATGGGAACTCATTTTTTTCTACTTCAAAATATTTGCCTGTTAATACTTTGGCATGAAATAAAGGCTCTGCAAAACAGACACATTTTTTTGTTTGTTTGTTTGTTTTCCAGAAGATCTCCTCTACAGGGAAGATTTGTTATTCAAGACAGTATGCGATAAATAGTTACACAGACTCAATCTCTCTTTCTATGGGAAATACTTAAAATTCAAGAGCTCTGAGCCAAAAATTCAATATGAACCACCACACAGTTGACTACTACTCTGACCGCTGAAGTATATTAATTCATGATCAGTTAAGTTTTCCTTTAGTTTCTTATTATCCATTTATTGATATTCACTGATCATTCTTCTAAGAACAGCTTTTCATTAACATAAACTACAGCATAAAAAGGGACATCCTTAGTTTATAATCAGTGGTTTTAACAAGCTACAGACTCCAAGAGCAATACAATGGCAAAGCAATCACAATCAATTAGTTTCCATCTGACAACTGTCTCTGGTGGTTACCGCCCTATTCTACCAACCACTTTCTCCATCGCTTTACCATCCATCAGCACAATACACAGGATCAGAACCAAGTAAAACGCCTCTGCAAAGGCCCAAGGTGGGGGAGTACAGAGAAGTCAAGTCTAACATGCCCTCACGTTTTCTATTTCCATAGCTTAGAGAATCCCAAAATTGATTTAAGATACACATGCTTACCCCTCACAATGACTTGACTAAATTCTAAGAGAACATCCTTATTAAATATTTTAAGTAACTTGATTTAGTACACAACAGAATACTAGTCTTGATTCTTCTATAGATAAATAAAATGCAGTTATTAATAAATTTGAAATCTTAAGAACTTACCCATGCATTTCACTATATAGTACCCATATAGCACTACTCACCTAAAATCACAGAGGTGTTGGGAAAGGTAAATAAAATTCACCGTGAGGTGAAATTTTACACTTGTAAGGCATCATGCCAAATATGTAAGTGGAAAGATAGAAAAATTCCTTAATGAAATCACTAGGCTGCTATACTAACCCTAAGACCACCTACACACTTTTGTAAGGTAAATCATAAGTATACTGTATCTAAGTCACTGTTAGCCTTTCTATTACTTACAACCAAACACAGTCCAAAGAGATGGTAATAATTTTGGATAACAGCCTCCAATATTTATAGATCTGCTTATAAGTACATGTATGTATACATTTAATGTTTAACATATACAATATATTGCAAACATATAAAATAGAGCATAAGTAAAAATGAGATAAAAATAAATAAGGTATAATCCTGATTTTCTTTCTGTGCCCTAAGGTGACACAGTATGGCCTAATATATCCAGCTGAGTGCTTTGTCCTGAAGGGAAAACATGGGACATTTGTGAGAACGAGAAAACAGATAAGATCTAACTCCAAACTATAAAACTTATGGCCCTAAATATCCTTGGGGTACCTTAACAATCAGACATAGAACTCTCATCTATAAACTTATCCAACATATTCAGAACCCAATGTTTATGTTTTAAAACTGCATCACTTTTAAGATAGTCTAATACACTAAGGTGGCTACGGTATATGGTACTCTTTTGTCATGGTTTTAAAATTCAAGGAGCACCTTCTGTTTCTAGGAATGATATCTGGTAAATAAAATCGTTATAGAGCTCCCTGTTCTCTTCAAAAAATTACATGGATAAAGGTCCAAGTAAGTAAACTAGAAGGGGCCAAATATTCCCATGAATTCTCATTTGTTTTCAAAGGCTCTCCCTTACTCCACAGTACCTCCTTATCAGGCATCACTCTCCCACCACATCAGCTCATGAACCTCCCATCTTACTGGACCATGAGCTTGTGGGGGTGGAGCAGGTCTTCACATCGCTGATCCAGTCTTACAGACAGCCTGACACAGAGGTGCACACAATAGATGTTTATAGAAGAACGATCTTTTTATAACATGAGTGTTTTTCTAAATGTTCTGTATAGTCGTGTGCACATTTTATCATCATAAAAGAAAAACTCTATATGAATAAATAAGTTAGGACATGAGATGAGTTCCAAAAGCAATTTTAGGTAAAGTGCTTAGAATTTTATAAGAAGAGCAGAAAATCAACTCCACAAAATGGAGGCAAAGGGAGGAGAAAAAAACAATCATTAGGGAAAATATTCAGAAAGAGATGGCATGAAGGATAAAGGAATGTTAGGCTTAAGATGAACAGAGACAGTGCTTAGGATAGGGATTCCAAGCACCATGAGCAAAGTTCAAGGTCTCAAGACAAGGAAGTGCAGTTGCTGGCTTGAGGAATAGTGCCCATTCACTTGGGACCACAAAGTCTGTGCAGTTATCCAGACCGCTCATCTGGCACTTGTTATATGTAGTTTAATGTGTTTTCTTGTATTTTTATGGGTTTCGGTCTCTCCCCAGGGAGGTCAGGGAGAGGGCTTTGCTTTTAAATTCTGTATTTTTTCCACATCATGTAGCATATATAGTGAGCAATCGGTACAGTAATTAGACGCACAGTGGGAACTAGTGGTGGTTAATTCATTAAAGGCAAAACGGGAAGAAAATGTATGGCTGGAAGACAGAAACCCCTGCAGATTTTGCAGTGAAAGTTAATTTATTAATGGATTAAAACAATGACTGGTTTTCCCCCTTGAGTACTGACTTGAACCTGAATGTTACTTATGGAGGTTTCCTCTGTTGCCAGCACAACACTGCACACTGTGGGAACACAG